CTCGCCCATTTTGGAAATAGGCTATCTAGAATAAATATCATAGTTCACATAGTGGTAAATGATCTGGAGAGACATGTGTGAAGTTGTACAACGCAAACTCTGCAAGAGGGAGCAATTCACTTCATTTTTTAAGGACGTAGCGTAAGTACGCAGTACGTCCTCCAAGACTTGTTCCGCACGTTCTGTTGGTCCATTTTAGGGTGTTCCGCTGTTATCATGGGCAATTTGGTACCCTTCGCCCAAACATGCATGCCAAACCTTGACGTGAAACAGGTGTCACGGTCAGGCACAGGAAGACCATACAGACGGAAAACAACGTCTACAAAGACGTTAACAGTTTTCTCGGCAGATATTTTATACAAAACAGGCGCAAGATAAATTAGCTTGCGAAATGGATCCACTAACAGAAAGAGTTCATGTGTCACGCGGAAGTCCGAAAATGATGTCCATGCTCACAATCGTCCAGCTGTCAGTTGGTACTGCCGACGAGTCAAGTAGTGTCTAAGTAGAACCCGATGATTTCACTCTCTAGCAAATCTCACAAATCCCCACATAATTGTGCACCATGTGACGTAATACCAAGAAAGACTAAGAACTGTTTTCTCACGTCCGATATGGCTACCCAAAAGACTATCATGGTGCTCATATAAAAGACGATGACGCAAACCTCGTCATTTGAAACAACAACTCTTGCCGCCTCCCTGTGTCCAATCGCATAGAACAACAATTCATTCTGTACTCCAAAACGGTTAATACGCGATCTTGTGCGAGACGAAAGACTTTCAAGTGCGTTGTCAGAAGAGCTCTTGAAATACTCAGCAATTCCCGAATTGTAATATCAGAGTTACACCCTTCGGCAATTGCTTCGCGTACTGTAGTCGTTGCTTGCACTCTGATTGTTTGATCATGTTTGAATTGTCGACATGGCTCGTGCACGTTTTGCTCCTAGACTTTGGAAAATAGACCGGACGTCCCGACAACGCATCAGCTTAGATGTTCGTCTCGCCTGACTTGTAGTGTAAAATAAAGTTGTACCCCGCAAAGAAGGAAAACGATTGAGTCATTTTCTACGATAGTTGAGGAGGCTTTACTGCCGTACGAAGCAAGGCATGATCTGTATAGATCGCAAAGCGTTCCTCTCAAAGCAAGTACTAACCAAGCATACTTCATTGCTAGAAGTTCTTTGTCATAAACAATATTGTTATGTTCCGCTAACCGGAGTTGTCGCGACTCAAACAGCTCTCCCTCTACCCTCATCATCGTATTGCATCAACGAACAACCGATAGAATAATCACTTGTATCGCAGGCGAAAACCAGAGTGTTATTTTGCTTTGCGATTGCAAAAAAGCGTCCAACGATTGCTCATTTAACCTTTGCTTCCGTGCCTTTTCATCAAATACTTTCGGAAATTTATGACATCGTTGATAGCTTGTTCGACGATCGCACATGTGTGCAAAATATTGCCTTTCACCAGGCTACACTTCGGCGTCTTCTTGCTTATCAGCGGCATAGAAAACAATCTTTTGACTGAACTTGGAGGATTTACAATTTTTATTTGACTGATAACCTCAAAGTCACCTTCTTTGTTGTAGGCCACAAAAACGACAAGATTGCACGAAGTGTCTTGCTATTGGTCACTTCCTTCATCGGTTCAGCTTGTACTTTGATCAGGGACACGCAAAAGATTTGATAGCAAATGCATTGAAGTGTCCTTGTAATTCCTTCTCTAATTGTTATCAACCCCTTATTCATCATGCTACCATTGCCCACGACTTCCATGTCGATGGCAAAGGAGACAGTCTTTTGCTGGAGCCTGATGGCCCCACCTCCAGTTGGAGCCATTACTTTCGTCTGTTTAGGCTTGGCCTGTAAACATGGGGCATCGCACACCACAATATTACTTGGAACTTCTGTGACTTCCTCATAGATTCATTTGCCCATACCATTTCGTTTGTCGTCATGATTCTCGAATTAGTACACAGGACTTGTTGACGGCCATCTTCGTATTCATCCAGTCAATGCTAGGCCGATAACGCTTCAACCTTGGTATACCTAGGATGATATCAGACTTATCATCGAAATCGAGTTGGATAACTCCTCCTCACCTCGAAATTCTCAGAAATTATTGCCAAGCGAATAAGTTGCTGTGGTATCTTCATTTCAGATCCATTCGCTGAATGTATGATCATTTCTTCTTTCACATTAGGCAGGCTGAAACCACGCCTAGTCTTAACTTGCGCTCGAACAAAGTTGTTTGACGCACCAGTATCAATCAAGGCTCGTAGTGATATTTCAAAATTATCTACAAAGACTTTCTAGTAGGGAGTCCCGCCCCTTCTGTTTTTTACTCATGAAGAGTTCGAACTGGCGACCTTTACAGCGTCCACGGTTGTCCGAACGAGCGCCGACTCGGCAAAGACACGATGCAGTTCCGAGTAATACGACCCGACTTCCCACAACGGAAATACATTCGGTTTTTACAAGGACGCACAACTTCATACGTGGAAACATACGAGATGTTCATAGACCCTGGACCATCACTTGTACCAGTCGACTGACGCGCTTGCCTTGGTACGAAGCCATTGAAATTGGCTTGCTTGATGCTGAACTCTTCTTGCTTCGCACGGTTGATAGAATCGTTCAGTATCTTGGAATACCCACGGAACAGTTGCTTCCCGACCGTACCATCGTTCAAACCCGCGATGCACGTTACAACTTGTGCTGAAACATCAATTGACACGTCGATAATGCTCAATATCAAGTAGCGAGCAAACGAGTGTAGGGCGTAACGACCTTTACGAAGCTTCAAGCACTCGGCACGGGAACGGAACTCACTCTGCGGTGGTTCAAATGCCTTTTCAGCTTGCCCTTAAAATGTTCGTAGCTGGTATAGCTGTTTGATCGAATAAATGCTTGCCATTCATTTACCGCTCTGCTCGACCCGGAATAATGGACATCGAGAGAAAAAACTTTCTGCATCGGGTCTCGTATTTGTGTTGCAGTGATTACTGCATCCAACTCGACAAACCATCGTGATACAGGTTCTTTCTCTCCGCTAAGGTACAAAGACACGTTTCATACGAAGAAACAGGGGTTACAACCCCTTCCGAGATTCCATAGTCTCATGATGCATGAAACTGACGGCTGCGTTCTTCTGGTCATCCGGAGCGGATGACAGCAATAAAATATATACCGCAGCTTCTCAGATAACTTCTTGTATCCAATCGATTGCCATCCGCTCATGGGAAGACGATTGAGGAAACATCTCATTCGTCAACACCTCAGTTTGTGATACTGTTAGACCGAGTAGTACCCCAACTGCCTCCACGTCGCAGGGAAAAGTAGAAGAGTATGACCTGAAGATGGTGCTGACATAATGTGATTTCTGCCGAGTGCTCTGATTGTCAAAGCGAAGCGTATGGCTTGGACTGGAACGCGTGACATGCTTATCAAACGCGCTGTCAAACTAAAATTGAGTGTGCTTGAAAAAACCGCTCGAAGTGCTACCAGGTGTAAGAGGGCACTGTTCAAAACCCTCAAACACAACACAGGGACTTAGAGAGAACGAGAAACGACTCGAGACCTTATAAGTAAATTTGCAACTGAAGTAAAATAAGTTATGGTTCCTAGCTACATGCAAAACGCCCCAAAGATTTTTACATTTTCGTTATTAAACTTTTGGGCCACTGATTTATAAATCATTGGCGTACAGAGGTTGAGCCCCCAGCTTTAGCTTATACTAGACCGTGGGTGATCGTGGTTTGTACATAAAAAACTTAGCTTTTGAGAAACATTTTCAGTAGAAGTGACTGATTTACGTCACCCACTTTGCAGTGGGGCTGTTGCTTAAAGAAAGAGAAACTAAGGTCACAGACCTTACGTTCTTTCCAAAAACCAGTACAAGTGTAGCGGATCACAATCCGCTACTGCTAAATACTACAGCCTTGATCAAGGCAAACGAACACTTTTGTACAAAACCGAACCTGTATTTAATGTCTTCTCTTCTCATTGTTCTGGTGCGGCAGAGCCGCCATTTTCTAAAACTGTAGGTTATCTGATTGATATAGCAATAGCTAATTTAAAAAGCAAAACTTAATTAATATAGTAATATGCATTACTACTGGTAATCCTGCCACGTGGTGGCTTCTTGTTACGGTGTAGACACACCACTCTGATATTACACTTACTTGTGTAATACACACCTATGTACAGTCGCACAAGATTGTGCGACTCGCACTTTCAAAAAAGGTACGTGTAACCCCGTTACATTTTCCCCATTAAAATTGTGAATATTCGCAACTCACAATAATCGGTCACTTCATACAAGGTTCGCGTGTCCGAGACACCTTAACGTTCTTTAAGAACACCTTCAAACATTCTCCGCTCTATGATCACTGTGTCTTCGACACGCAAAACACCAAGCCTAGCTGGTAGCGAGTGCGCCAGCGGTGGAAGCCCTTCTTCTTCTGCACAGGGTGCACTGCGGACTGTACGTCCACGGCTTCACGAGAAGCACATCCCAAGCCCTCAGCAATTGAACTCAACACAGCGCGCCCATCCCGGGCGACAGATTTTCTCGTCGAGGAATTGGAGGAAGTCGACTACGAGTCGGACACTCCTTTCCCAGCATGGGATGACGAGGAAGACGAAGTGCGCCAACGGCGCGACGTGAGCCCAGCTCAACCCTGCGGAGAACATTTCCGTTTTCCGATCGTATAA